CGCTCTTCAATCCGCAGACCGCGGCTAGCGAAAATCTAGCCCTTAACACATATGAACGCATACTTTATAAAACGATCATGTTGCTATTTTCATTTGAAAATGTAATATTTACTATAAAACATATTACAGTGCATGTGGCATACCATACAGTCATTCACAGAACTGATTAAAGACAGTGACAGACAGCACTCAGTCAAATCACTCATTTTAACTAAATATCAGAGTGATTGACAGAGATACAGTAGAAACATTATGTGTGGTTTTGTGTTAAATAAATGACCCAGATCGTGAAATACATTTATTAGCCTTAGAGTAAGGGAAGCACAACTTGGGAAATGAGAGCATCCGAGGAGCATGTGAATGCTATGTATATTTATCTTAAATATTTGTAATATTATTTAATGTTATCCATCGGGGGGGGGTTTTATTAGTATTAAATTAAATTAGTATTAAATTCATTAATCAGTGCTGTTTTTTACCTCTAATTGGATCTGTTTGGACATTTTTGGCCCATGTGTGCTGCTTTTTGTATGTTGATTTAAAATACTGGCACAATCTTGTTCTGTGTTAAGTATTTGAAGTGTTTATTGTTCTGGCTTTGACCGCTCATGTGAACGTGGGCCTTAACTTATGATGACCCACTTGGCATCAAGCTGAAAGTTTCTGGATTGTTTGGCCTGTAAATGTTTGGCTGTATGTGGCATTTCAGTTTGTATGTGTGTGTGTGACTTTTGTCTCTGTGAAGGGCTAGTGATTTTTTTTCCTGTTGAAATATTTCAGTTTTGTGTCAAATGGAGTGTGTAATTGTCAAAGTTAGCTCAAAACTAAATCTCGAAACTGGGAAATAGGCTGGGTTTTTTATAATGCTAATTGGCTGGGTTTTTATCACCGGCAGCATATGTGATGGTTGCAAAATGCGGTAGGCCTGTGGGTTTATTGATTTGAATTGTGGGTTTATTTTTAATGTTTAAATTCCCTTGACAAATACAGTTGTTGTTTTTTTTGTGAACAGGAAGTTTGGATGGGACAAATTAAAGGGCATTTGAGTAAAGTTAACTGTAATACTACTTAGTTGTGTTGCATTATTTTTAGTCTTCGCAGGCATGACATGTCATAGTGGGCATGCGACTTGCATTTGAAGGCTTGTAGGGCATTGAGATGTATCGTAGATAATATTAGCTTATGCAAATTTCCCTTACTCATGCCCAGCCAAGGATTGCTTCTTGTGCTGACATGACCTGCCTTTGATCTTTACATGCAGTCTCATCTTCATTTGGCCACTTCCTGCTTGTTTCCTGTTTCCTCTGAGGACAACTGGTTGGGAAGCATCTCATCTGTGCTCATTCGATGTCTCTGCACCACCATCGCTCTCAGATCAGATTTATTGCTCCGATTCGTGCAAGTTTATTCTCTCATACAGACTGTGTTTTAAAAGCTCTGTTCACAGAGTCACAAATTCTTGTCACATTCCTCTTTAGGTGCACACGTGCACCATATTCACTCATGTTCATGTGCTGCCTCTTGTGGCAGCTGTGTGTATTACATTATTGCATCAGTCCCTCCCCCACCCCGAACCCATGTGGAAACATTTAGGATGCCCAAACATACAAAACACTCATCTGGACTGGCAAGAGTGGAAACATCGCATTTCAGGGAAGAGGAAGAAGGCTGGTCACAGTGCGTTTATAAAGCTTGTTCCAGGGAATCATAGCATGTTTACCGAAGCCTCATTCCTGTCTTTGTCAGCCTCTTCAGAGTTGATTGTGGTTATTGTTGAAATGTATATGCTCATTGTCTGCAAATTCAGTTGCACAAGTATGAACAGTTACACCTTTTATGGCTGTACATAGTGTTCTGATGTTTATAATATTATTATAACAATAATAATATTTAATAATTTAAATTGTTTATTAGTAATATTTTTAATTATATATTATTGTTATTATATATTAGTCCTTTTTTTTTTTTGTGGAGTGTTAAAGGTATTTTGAAGAATGTTGGGAACCAAATAGTTTCAGTTCCCATTGAATTACATTGTATTTTTTGTCCACAGAATGGAAGCCAATGGGAACCAAAACTGATGGTGGTTTGAAGTTAAATTTGAGTAAAAGCGTACTATTCATTTTATAAATAGTCTTATGTAGCTTGATGCTGATGTTAGCTCTAATTAGGGTTGGGAATCGAAAATAGATTCCGATTCCAGAATCGGATACTTGAGGTCAGGAATCGGATACTTGTTGTCAAATTAAAATTTCAATTCCGCCTATCGATTCCTATGCGCTTTTTTTTTCTGCCGGGACCTTGGTCGCTAATCTAAGCGCTCCAAAAGTTTGGCTACATTTGCGATCAGAAGCCAAAAAAGCGGAGTATAATATCTGTGATAAAAGAAAAAAAAAACTCAATTTATCCAGAATCATGCAGTTCTATTTTGCACACAAACAGCTCTTAAAGAGTCCAGTTTTTATGTAGCCTGTTGATTTTTGTTCATGGTATTCAGCTCCAATAAATGGTTTGCAAAAAAAGAGACACAGGATAAATGTTTGATATCATTATTTAATCACATTGGAATCGAAACTGGGAATCGAAAAGAATCGGAATCGATAAAATTCAAACGATACCCAACCTTAGCTCTAATGCACCTTGTTACCCTGCTATTAAATTTCATGATGTAGGCTATTCTATCAAAAGAATTCAAGTAAGGTTGTAAGAAAATGTTTTGTTTTCTAGAAAGACACTTTATAATAAGAGGATAAATGTATATTGGAGCTAAAGGATTTGTGGACCAGGAGACTATAAAGAGTGGATAAAGATTTTCAATTTCATGCGGTGTTTAACGACACTATTATGTTTATGTTCACCTACACTGCGAAAGGACCCCTTTTAGCTTTTATTTTGTATTTAATTTAATATTCAACATTTGTTTTTGTAAAAATGTAACTTGATAATTGTCATTTTCTTCAATCATCTAATTATTATAACACCTAAAATATGTTGCATGTAAAAAGTGTTTGTTTCAGCCAGTTGAAGGGTGGGTATAATTAGGGCTGGGTGATATGGCCAAAAAATCATATCTCTGTATTTTTTTTGGCTGAAATGCGATATACGGTATATATATCTCGACATTTTCTATTTGAAAATGTATTTTCTACGTTTTCTGTATGTAATTTTTATATTAAGATTTAAACTGAACAAAAAATGAAAGTAAATAAACACAAGAGCACAGATTAATTGCATTATATTTTGATTACTCCATTACTGCTATCTGCTATAATAAAATACACTTACTTGTAGGTTTAAAATTCTACATATGACACCATTATTGCGCTCCTGTTCTATTGCACTCCGTCTGTTTGGCACACATGTGCGTGGCGCACGTGCACTTTCTGACGTTGACAGATGAAGAATATACAAGTGAATTTGTAAGTTATGCATAGCGTCTCTGTCAGCAGCACATGTGTCTGTCAGAGCATCTGACGGGGCGAGCCGCTTTAAACTACACGTATTAACTATATCTTACGAGTTATTTTAAAGCCCTTAATATAAAGCATGTCTCATGTTTAGGACAAATTTAATTATGCACTTTACCTGCAGCAGCTCACTCTGCGTCCTCTGCTTTATTCAGATGCGCTCGTATCAAGCTACTGTATATTGATATAAATGGGTATATCACATAAAGTCATGTGATTGGTTGTCTATAACATCACATATGATTGCTTAATGACATGCAGCGGCCACACACAAGTCCTTTTTTCCTGCCCAGTGTGCCGCTAACATTCATGCACAGAAAAGTGACTGGATTGTTGTGTGTGAGCTTGGCAAGCAGTGGTGCCTGCTGTCTTTTTCCCATTGAAAACAAACTGCAAACTTGTGATTAGTGTAAAATGACCTTAAAAAGTTGGTCTCCGTGTACATCTGAGAGTGAAGCCCACAGGATAAAAGCAGAAACACACAAAAATCCTAAATGTTGAAAAGAGACTTGTTTGTGAGTCTATTGATTGGTGTTCTCTCATGTAAAACGAAAAGTAGAGTGAGGCTTCAGACAAGCTTTTGTTGTTGTCAAGCTCCTCTGAAGCAGATCTGAGTGTAATTCCAGCCTATTAAGAGCATTCTTATTGGACTGTTAGAAGAAAACACATAGTAGTGATATATGTGTGTGTTTTTGTCTTCCGCACACTTTTTTAGTTCCCTTCTCGTCATTCCCATCTGTGGTTACAGTAATACTTTTACTTTTTCCCTTCACTTTTATCTCTTAAGTCTCTCGCTCTCCTTCTGATTCAGGGAAGTCTTGAGTCATGTTGTTGTACTTCAGATGAAAAAGGAGCCATTTATTTCTCCTCGTGTTTTGAAATCTTTTTATTTTCAGACCAGAGACCAGAGGTTATGCAATAACTGGGACTAATGTAAAGAGGTCAGAGTTCAATTCAGTGCATTTTTGACAGTGTTTCAGTACATATTATTATTATTATTTCTTTATTTTCATTTTTTGTGAAGTTTAATGGGAGCAAGTTGGATGTTTTTCGGGAGAAGTCTCATTGAATGGCCTGTGTCAAGTGGCTTGCTGAATTCTCACGCACACAAACAGCTACAGGAAGTTTTGGATGGAACTTATGTTCTTGGTTAACTTCCTGTCAGATTTTGTTTCTCGGATTTGTTTTCACACTTCCATCACACTATGTGCTGTGGAGGCAAAGGTTACTTGATGTTTTTCACTCCACGTCACTATACCTTACTCTTTAAAAATTATAATAATAATACATTGGCTGTATTAACAGTAGAAACAGGACTGGAAATTGTGAGGAGCAGAGTCTGTGAATGACTCAAACCAAATTATAACTCTCATTGTCCACATAAACACCATGACCTAACTTGGAGCATGCCCTTACCTGGCTTTTAGGAAAAAAGTTTTAGCCAAAATTTCAGTGTTAATGCTAATTACGAAGACTGATATTTCCAAAAACATGAATAAACTTGTAACCAGTATATTTCTGTGTGTTTTCCAGATGTAGGAGAGCAGAAGGCCGTTATGCCGTTGACCGAGCTTCCATCATCAGTCACTGGAACTGGCTACAGGCCCAAGTCTCGGATCTGGAGTACCGTATACGCCAACAGACTGACATTTACAGACAGATCCGCTCCAGCAAGGTGTGCATGTACACACAGCCATGCACATTCACTTTGTTTACTTTGTGCTGTTTACACCAGAATCACTGGTGTAGTTTAAGTTTTAACCCAGCAGAGGTGGCTTCTGCCTCTGGTAACTTGGCAACGTGGGTGCTCTCTCATGTTCCCGTGGCGAGGCAAACTCTTGTGGGATCATTGTTTCATGTTTCTTTTGCTCACTGTTTTTTTCAAAGTGCTGCTTTTACAGCTTGTTTTCCTTGTGTGATTGAAACAAACAAATCATTTGGAGACTATCGTCATTATGTGACTATTCATCTGACACATTAAATGATGGCTGTATTTTAAGTTCGTCGCAACTCTACATGAAACTTCAGAAATGTATTGACGTATGGGTTGACCTTAAAAAACAGTTTTCAGGATTTGTATATATTAATACCACCGTTCAAACAGGAATAAGTGACGTATTAAAATAGTCAAATAGAAAAGCTTAAATTGTAATATTTTGCAGTATTACTGTTCTTGCAGTTATTTGATTAAAACGGTACTGATTTAATCAAATAATTGCAATATTGCTGAGCATGAGACTTCTTTCAAAAACATCTAACATATAGCCAATTTTTTTCTATACATTTGTCAGGTTTTTTTAAAATGTAATGTGCATGCGATAGGCGTTGATAAATGTAATATTGACTGTAAACAAACTCTGTTTTTAACAGAGACAGAGTTTAACAGAGTTTTTAACAAGACCTTGCTTCTACAATGACTTTGTGAGAAATATATTTATAATGCACAGATGCTGATCTCAAAAGTTGTTTATTTAAATTAAACTCATAACACACTAGCATCAGATTGCAGATCTTCTGTTGTTTGTTACTGCAGATAAATGTTTGTTCTGCTCTCTCTGCAGTGAGGAACTTGTTTTTAGCTAATCTAAAAGAGAGGTTTTTAGAAGATTTTGACTGGGGAGGGAAAACAAGGTCTCCAAGTTTTGGTCTATAATTTGTGTTTGTTTCTTGATAGGGCTCTGTTGTGCTTGGAGAGAGCTCAGTGTGTGAGTCAGTACCAGAAGACAGCAGTGATTCAAGGACAGAGACCATTACCTGCCCTGTCCCACGGGTAAGGCCTGGAGCACAGACCCATAACAGAGTCAGTCTAGTCCTGAACTCAATTTAGAAGCATGTGTTATTTGCTGTTACACCAGATTATAAGTAATCAGTTATCTATAATAAAATGTTCTGTCTAAGATCCATTAGTTTAATTCCCACACAAACAGATAAAACCCTCATGATATGGGCCCACGCACAGCCTAAAAGAATGCTGGGTTTGTTGAGCAAAAGAACTGAGAAGAGGGGCTGCAAACACTCAGTCCTTTTGTCTGTCGTATGCAAAGCACTCCTGACCTTTTCATCCATAGAGAGTAGTGAAGAAATGCAGCAAGAACCATTCGACTCATCCAGACCAACTCGGGGGGGGGTACTGGTGGGATGTCCTTTCCAACATCACATTTGCTTTTTGTCTTTTTAGGAGCATGATACTGTTGGAGTGGAAACGTCTGTATCATCCAATGGTATCGTCACAGAAACATGCTTGAGGAGAAGCTGTGGACCTGTGAGACAGGTCAATGGTGTTATCAACAGGTATGAAAGACACAAATATATATCATTTAAATGTGCATGCGTTCATTTTTTTCCCTTCATTAAAAATGACACTTTTATTGTCAAAATGTCATGTTCTTCTCCTCATCCAGTTTACGGCCTAGTTCCCCTGTCACCTCGGACCCAGACGAGCAGAGCCGCTCTGAGTCTCAGCAGAAGCTGGAGATGGGACCTCAGGCTTCCCCTGCGCACGACAGCACATGCGTGGCAGCCCGCACACGTCCACTGCTGTCGTGCAGGAAACGCAGAGTACTCCGGCCCGGCTCGCTCACCAGTCTCAATCATAAGGTAAGGAGAATCGTGTTCCTTCTCAAGATCTTAAGAGGTTGGTGTAGTTTTGAGGGCTGTTTACACTGTCTAATATAGATACTTTTTAGATTTCTTTTTTTAAACCCCACACCTTTAGTGTTTGAAAAAAAGAGACAAAAGTTTTGCAGTAAGACGTGTCGTTGAAGGTCACTAGGTATGAATGTGCCCTGAAAGTAGTGAGAGAGGTGTGCGAGACTTCAGAAACAAGCTCTTTCAGTGTCACCTGTGGAAGTGTTTTACTGAAGATCCAGTGAGCTCCTTAAGGTCCCAGCGGGCTTCTTACAAAGGTTACAGATTAAATAGAAGCAGTGTTAAAACAGAAATCACAGTACTGCTCCAGAACTGTCACATTTGTCATTTAATGTGTTGCTGTGTCATTTGAAGTTGCTGTGAATGACTAAAGCAGGGGTTTTCAAAGTTTTTATCCTCCAAATGTGATAATTACCTTACAAGGGAAAGAATTTGTTGCATATCTCATATCTCTCTGCAGGATTTTGGTTTGGTGGTTTTTCTGTGTGAAATAGTAACCAAGTAGCTGTAAAAATGTAGTTTGGCTGGTTAGGACAGAAACTTGGATTTACATGAAAGACAACTTTTATCATTCATCGCCTCATGGCCAGTTAGGACGTGGTGTAACAGTCCAACAGCTGCCCTCTGAATGATGGAACCGTATCTGCTCGGGCTGGGTTTTGACACAAATTTCATGATTCGATTCGATTCTCATTCACAAGCTTGCGATTCAATTCAATTACCGATTCGATTAGATTCAATATCGATTATTTTGGATACATATCAGGTACAGTACATGGCAAATTTTCTAAAGGAAAAAAAAATCTCTCAACTAATGATGTAAAATATACAGTCAGTTGGTACTACGTTACTATAATATTGAAGGTTACAATATACTGATTTGTTGTACAACTGCTAAAATTACACTTAATGAAGTTTTTAACATTACATTATTTCTACTTCAATTCGCTTTTTTTTTTTTTTAAATATAAACATTTAAATGGTGGCTGTCATAAAAACTTGATGGATTTATTCAAACATAAATTAAACATTGAAGAACCGTAAAAATTATATTGTATATGTTATATGATGCATATATTTAGCAAAATGCCCCTCTCTGCAGTTTATTTTTCTAGCTGATTAATGAGATTATAGTTACAGAATGTTTTTTCTGAGGTAAATGTGATGTTACGTGACATTGTTTACAAGCCGTTATATTGACGTCTTTGCGTGGCTAAAACACTGATTGAGTGATTACATGAGACAGGATAGGGATTGTAAAGTTGTACTCTTTCTTTTAGCTTACCATAGGATGTTTAGTCATGTTTATTTTGTGCTGAAGCTGGTATTAATGTGGAGGAGATGATCCGTTCACGTGCGCCTCGCGCTGTCGCATCTGTTGATTGAGGCGCTACAGTGATCTGTCACTCCACATTAAATGGCGCCAAAACGGCATTTATTGTTTGAATGCTGCAATACAATGGACAGAATTTGAAATTAAAACTAAAACTTTTTCATAAAAGAAATACCAAAGCACAATGCTTATTGCGATTTATTGGATGGGAGGTGCCCTTCAATGTTGCGTCCATTAACTGAAAACAGGCTAGAATAATCGATTCTTGGGATTTAAGAATCGATATCGTTCCGTAAAAATGAGAATCGATTCAAATCGAGATATCGATATTTTTTTACCCAGCCCTAGTAGTATCTGCCATATTCATAAGATGGCTACAAAGTCTCAGCACTTCTTTTACAGATCTGTTTGCTCTCTGAACCGCCTTTAAAACTCGATTCCTCCCATAACACAGGCCCACTGTGAGCGAGAATGTGCAGGCATGTGCTAAAACAATAAGTGCAACCCCAGTCAAGCACAGCTCCATTACAAATAACAGCGCTTGGATGTCATTCAGAGACGACGCTCCTGAAAATGTTATGAGAAATGCCGCCAGTGTCATCAATGTACTAACAGCCAAATTCACTCACACTGCCAGTTATAAACTACCTGCTAACCGAAGTACTGTCCAATCCTAAATTTATAACCGGCACTCCAGATGAACGCTGCCCCAGTTAGAGGCAGAAGCTTTTAAAATTTCCACCATTGTGTTTGAACACGGACAGATAGAAGCATACGGCTAGCTGATTAGCTGAATCTCTGTGTTTTCTGCTTTATTAAAAGTAACTGCATGTTTTTTTTTTTTTGTTGTTTTTTCTATATAATTTTAATTTTAAAAGTGTTAAGCAATTAGATTTGTTTTTATTAGCTGTATTATATATTAACACAACCTTAATTACATAAAAAAAATATAAATTGGCTACTTTTTATATTTACAGATCACGATTGAATATTGTCTGTTTAAAAGTGCAGAGATGCAGAACTGTTAACAGTATAGCTTTTATCTCTAAGTTTAATAGTTTTGTTTAACTTGCATATAAAAGCTTTGTTAGATCTTGAGTTGACCTGTTTCTAAATGTACAAAATTGATCACAAAACACTTGGCAGAAGTTGCATTTCATTACAATTCAGAAACCAGATCAGTGCTGTAATTCCAGGTGTTTTCTGTGTGATTGCATAGATGATAGTCCATGTAAAAACTGTCGTGCTTTAATGTGAAGCACTTTTGTTTGAATAGGCTCGGAAAAACTGGGCACAGTTGCCAATAGCAACCCGTTCTCTCTTTCTCTCTGGTGCTGTGCTCTGGGTTAATGACACGAGCACATGAGCGCTAGGGAACCTGCCACATGCAAAACTGGGTCAGCAGCTCAGGATCCATGTGTGGTCATCTGCTGGAGAGATTTGTGTGAGAGCATCAGGTTTGAAGGGGGGACTCAAGTACCTCAAGACAGGGAAAGGCTGATCACTGCCAGATCTAAATTTTGGATGCTGGTGCTCCAGACATTTCATTCACAAAAAGCATATTTGATGACGATCCATGCAAGCTATTTATGTATTTATTTATTTTATTTTTTCCACAAAGAGAAATATTTAAGTAATTTATTCGTGGCTAAAACACTGATTGAGTGATTACATGAGACAGGATAGGGATTGTAAAGTTGTACTCTTTCTTTTAGCTTACCATAGGATGTTTAGTCATGTTTATTTTGTGCTGAAGCTGGTATTAATGTGGAGGAGATGATCCGTTCACGTGCGCTTCTGCAAAACTCTCTATGATTCACATTTGATGCTACCAAGGTTAGGGCTGGGATTGCTGCTGGACACAGAAGAACAATGTGCAGTGTGTTCACGAATTATTGTCTTAAATACACTATTCAGAATTTAAGGCTGCAAAACATTTAGAAAAAAAACTTGAATGGTTCATTGATGTCCAGAATTTGTGAAATCATTGCTGAAAAATGTTTGCAGAAGTCATTTTACATGAATTGAAAAGTTTTAGTGTCAGTAAATATTTCTGTGTTTGTTAGTATCTATTGATACACTATTGTGTTGATAAATTATTACATAAACCACTCTTTAGTTCAAAAGTGACACTTTACAAAAAGGATCTATTTATTCGCTATATTTAATGCATTAACTAACAATGAGCAACACGTTTGTTTTTATTAATCTTTGTTAATGTTAGTTATTAAAAATACTACTGCATCATCTTAATGTTGAAAACAGATTTGTTGCTTAGTATTTTTGTGTAAACGATGCATTTTTTTCATGATTCTTTGATCAGAAGAACAGCATTTATAAAAAAAAAGTTCATTTGTTTATGATCAATTGAGTGTGTCCTTTCCATAAAGTTATTTATTTCTTGAAGAAAAAGAAAAAAACTGTAGTGTACATTGAATGTTATTTATTCTTTTGTGTAGTCATCTATCAGTGCAGGGCTGATATGTTTCTTTTTTTTCATACCATTCATACATTTGCACTAACTTCTCTCCTTGTCAGGCTCAGAGGTCAGTGGCTCCTCGCTGTGGCTGTGAGCTGAACGCTCAGTGTGTGATGTGCAGTGGACGTGCTCTCCCTCCTGCAGACACCCAGCACCAGCTCCCCCTACTGGACAGACTGGCACAGTTTGACCACTGCGTTCACCCCATCCTCTCCTTTACAGATGGTGAGGACACACTCCTGTCCTTTAATTGTTTGTTTCTCTCATTTGTTCCAGTATGCATACATGTACATGGACAAAAACAATGACAGCATCAAGGCCCGGTTATGCTTCACTTTCTGCTCCGTCTCATGGACAGCCTTGTCTGCACAGCTTTCATAGAATACTCAAACCCGGATGAGCAAGCATGGACCTAGTAGACTCGTTCTGTCTCAACATTCACCTCACGCCTGTTGTTGTTGTACGTAAAGCGTCCGCGTGGTTACCAAAATTGGCTATGCATGTAGATGGTGTGTGCGGATGTCCGTATACAGTTCTGATGTCAAAAGTAGCATCACACAGACCGTTGGGGAACGTGGACGGCCCAAGTATACTTTGGGCACAGCTCTATCTATCCCTGCTGATCATTTCCCACAGATTGCCTCAAGAATGAGGACTTTTAATAAGGTTTTTATTTTTTACTGCATAACAACTTGGTGTTAATTTATGTGTTAATTATTCTGGATCTGGTTATTGCACCTCCTAAAATTACCTGCAGACTGATCTGGGTTTGGAGCAGGTCATTAGTGCTGGGATCTCAGAACAGTTTTTGCTTTTCATGTCTGTGAGAATTCAGTTACATTGAATTTGAAGAGCTGATCTTAGATCAGCGGTCCTTCCCTGTGCTGGTCAGATTAGCTGATCAAGCATTCATCTGCCTGACCTTTGCAGTGATAACCATTTTAAAGAGCAGTGCAATCTGACTCGAAGCGTGCCAGTAGCAGCTAGCTTTGTCAGACTAGCTGAGAGAGACGTATCTTCCCTCATTAATATGAACCGGTTGTCCTCTCTAATCTGGCATCTGTTGTACAAATGAATGATGGGCGTAGAAGAGGCAGGTGACACCATGGGTGAAACTCGAGTAGATGGAGGGAAAAAAGGAAGAGGAACCTCAGTACAATGAATACTAGAGTCAAGCTCTGATGCCTTCTGCTGGAGAATTTACTCATGACACTTTGTGTCACTGATTTAGATGTTTGCAGAGCATTAGGTCAGTCACTATTTGCATTAGTAAAGTAGCCAAAGGATGAAAAGTCATTTTGAAGTGAGTATTATGTAAAATGGTGTTGGGTTTGATTCCGAGAGAATGCACATAATTGTCATTTTATGTCTCTCATACACATTTTAATGTATACCTTTATTTATTTTTAAATAACTTATTTTTTTAACTTTTAACTTTTTATTATTGGAAACATTTTTTACAATGTCCTTTTTACATGTTACATATATGCAGAGTAACATGCAATAACCCAAAACCAAACCTAATCTTAACCCTAACCTTATAGTAAGTACAGGTTGTTAATTTATATTGCTCAGTATTTAAATGTATAATTACGCTTTAACAAGGGCACCTTAAAGTGCAGCCTTATTGGTTATTATTTCTTCATTATTTTTAATCATTAGTTAAAGCACTTTGAATTACACTTTGAATTGTGTAAGAAATGTGATGTATAAATAAACTTGCCTTGCCTTATGGTATTCCTTAAATGCATTGTAAATCCACTTGGATGCCAGTTAGTAGAGACTTTCCCAATCCCATTTCACCCTTTTTCCACATAATTACTTGACCTCTTATTGCTATTTCTGGCCCATCTGTAAAAATGGCATCAACAAAAAAAAAATTCCCTGGAAGTCTTAAAGTCATCTTGAATCTGTTCACAACCAATTTTACTTTCACTATCTGATGTTTCTCAAAGCGAAACCGGATATTTAACAAGGAAAAAAGTTATTTTGCACTTGTCTAACGGGAAGTGAAAAATTAGTGGGCTTGATGTCGGCCAATGCAAGACTGTTTCAGATGATTAACTCTGTCTTCTTCTCTCTCAGATGTGATGATGAATCTCCATATGCAGCGTGTGCTGAAGGGACACTGGCAGAATCGTCCTCTGGAGAAGATCAGGCCCATCAAGAAGATCTCGCTCAAGCATAAGTTGTGTTTGGGTAGCCGCATCTCAGACCCGTCATCCAAAGACAAACACAAGCTCGCCAACTCTCTCCTCTCCGCAGTCCGTAAGTGTGAAAACAACAACTAAAGACACCAAGAGACCTCATTTATTAACTTTAAAGGGCTTTTATTAACATTGAAAAGAGAAAGGAAATAGGCAATTAAGGGAGCTGGAGTCAAACCTGTGTGCCCTGAATGACTGTATCGTGCATGCTAACATCTAGGCCAGTCTACAAAATTGTGTGCAAATCCCCTGCTTCCTCAGCATCTGAAATGTCAGGAGCTGAGTTTTCTCTAATGGAGGCAAATTCTCACACCTTTAGGAGAGTCTAAATTTGGTCTAAATATGACTGCCCCTATGGGCAGTTAAAGTGACCTGTGAGTGTCTGGCCGTCATTAGCTGCTCTCTGCCAGACCCTCGTTGCAGTGACTCAGCAGTTATTTCTGGCATCATATAAGTCCAGCCACAGTTGCTGACTGTATTTGTTTCTTTCATATTCCATGAATGAATTATTGAACTCTGAAAGACGTCCCGATATAGTGCTGTGAATTGTAGAGTTGAGTCATGTGTAATATAAAGAAATTACTATTACTATTATTGGTAGTTGTGTATTATTTAGTCCAATTTATTGAGAGATTTTGGCATGACAATCATGTATTCGTGTTGCAAAAACATTTAGCAGATGTTCAAGAAAAATATCGCAAAAGTATGTACGTTGCGTAAAATATAGTGACAAAAAAGGATATTACATATTAAAAATGAAATAAAGATAAAATTAACACGTGTGAAATAAACTTAAATATTAAAATGAATAACAGTGAAGATTTAAATGAAGTTAGAAATAAAGGTAAAACAAAATAATAATGCAATTCATTGTACATAAATTATGTAAAATAAGCCAAGACAAAGTATACAGAGTACCTGGCAAAGAAAGAAAAACATTAAAGATTAAAAATTGAATTAAGTTAATTGGGAAAAAAACTGTTTAAAATGGCCAAAATAATAAGTGGAACACAACACACAAATTAAGAAGGGGAAAAAACTAAAAATTAAAATGGAAAACAGTACAGATTAAAAGAGAAGTTAAAATTAGGTAGAAATAAACATGTAAATCGATAAACAAAAATTTATATATATAATCAAAGACAACGGATGCAGAGTAACTGAAACAGAAATGTAAAACAGATAACAGTAACAATTAAAAATTGAGTTAAAAATAAATGTAAAAAATAAGTGCAAGTGTAAATAATTGAACAAACTATGTAAAAAAAAAAACAATTTGAAATATGCAGCAAAAACTAAATTGTTTCATCTTCATCTATTTATCTTTCTGTTTGCCATTTCTCTCAGGTTTGTCGCATCATAAGGTGCGCTCAGAGAAGGTCTCTCAGCATCAGTTAGATATCCCAATCAGTGCCAGTAAACATGAGTCTCGCCAGCATTTCCGCCAGAGCAGTTCTTTTGACAGGAGTCACGGCCGCAAGAGACCTCGTGAACCCTCGCTGGACCGTACAGAGAGTATGTTGTTCATTCTTTTCTTTTTTTTCTCGTTCCTTCTTTTATTGGCTTCAGTCACATTTGCTTCCCTCTCCCTCTAAATCACCATTGAGTTCAGTCCTGTAACTCAGCACTGTCTTTGATTTGTCTATAGATGCTCCAAAGTTGAATATGGACATGGGGAGTCCATGCCCATCTCTGTCCGCTCTAAACACGCCCACCCACAGCCTCCTGATGAGACAGCCATCAATCTCCGAGACCTCCACACCCCTTCACCTCAACAGCAGTGCCGCCGTAAGATGCTCTTCAAAGTCTTCCGAGTCTGTTTGTGTAAACATGAGAACGAGTTACTTAAGTCTGTATGTGACTCTTTCAGACTATTCGCCGACGGAGAGGAGAGAGCCCCTTTGATATCAATAACATCGTCATCCCCATGTCTGTGGCCGCCACCACCCGAGTGGAGAAACTACAGTATAAAGAGATCCTTACCCCAAGGTCAGAGACTCAAACTGTCTATCCATACCTGTGTTCATTAGCCTTATATATTCAAAGATTTGTTCTTTACCTACTAAATTTGTTACCCTTTGCTTTTTAATTGTAGTTGGCGAGAAGTGGACATTTTTGCAAAACCAATATCTGAAGAGGATGATGCAGTGGAGGTACGGCCATGCAGTTGGTCACCCAACAGTTATTTTAGGCTGTTTCTCAAGCCTGTAAGCTGCCTACCTAGACAAGCATGTAAGATGAGTATGCCCCAAAACGCTTTCTTGGTAGGCAGCTCAGTAGGTTTTGAGCTAAAATGGCTGCCAATATGATAAAAATCTAGACAGTCAAAAATCTGTTCAGTATGTGTTTTCCATGCAAGTGAACTGTCTATGTAAACGCCCAGATACTTATAGGTCTGTGACTGGGCGATGTAATGGTCATGTATAACCACTTGACGATGATCACCTATGCATTTTGGGTCAAATACAATCTCCTCTGTTTTCATTGTATTTATTATTAACTCATTTTTATCACACCAGTCAACAAACCGGCTTATTTCTGACTGGTAGATGGTGCTAATATTGTCGTGAACACAGTAAACTTAATATGGCTGTGCCATCTGAATATTTAAAAATATTGTTTTGTGAATGCATAATTAAGCATTCATTTGTAAAAAAAAGTGTAAAAAGAATGGGTGAACTGACACAGCCTTGTGGAACACCTGTACTAATGATCTTTTGATGTGAAAGACAATTATTTACTTTCACACATTGAGTTCTATCTGTTAAAAAAGAAAATTACCACTTATTGATAAATGGGTTTACACTCAGCCACAGTGATTCTGTAATTTGTGATTTGGCTTGTTAATGTTTAATTTTAGGACTCCCTTGTCATTTTTTAATTGCCTGCATCCCTGAATACTGCCTGGTGTATGTTTTTAATAATTTTCTCCCATTCCCTCAGATTGAGGATCTCTCTGATGTCACATTCTCTCAGCTTTACCTTTCGTATGAGGAGCAGGAGCGCTCCCGATGGAGTTGGAGTGCCAGCAACATTGCAAAGAGAAGGGGCAGCAGGTGGGGGAACAGAACTTGTACTGCTTTTCTTTGCCCTTTTTAGGAACAATTGCAGTTTCTCCTTTGTGTTTTGTACTTCATGATGGCAAACGAGTTAACAGTTTTAAACATGAGAGAATAATTGCAGTGAAAAACAACTCCAGGCTGTTCACTTACCTCAACAGTACAATGAGAACATACTGAAGCAAAAAGCATTACAACAACGTCATCTCAGATGCACAAAGAAAGATCTGCTTCAAGGACATGGCCGTTCCGATGCCTGTTCCAAACTGTAATAGGTTTTGGTTAGTTTAGATGTCATTGGTCCATGTTGCATTCATATTTGTCAAACTGCACCAGAGATTGTTTGGAAGCAGTCTAAGACCCACCTTTTCTTGTTTGGTGTGCACCAAAGTTCAGATGGCAGTGTTTACACTTATTCACCGCATTCATACCAGAGTCTAAACACACATGATGATAAGGGCTAATCTTTTATCCACAGGTCATACAAGTCTGTGGATGGACGGACAACCCCCTTGCTGTGTGGCACAAACCCCTCCACGCCGCAGCCTTCATCTCCAGACACGGCATATTTCCACCTGCTGCATGAGTACAACTCGGTGGCATCTCCATCCAGCCCTGTCAGTCCAGAGATGCTGATGCTGTCTGGCCTGCACACGCCCGGCTCCAGAGACTCCCAACGGCTGCTGTCCAACGAGGACACATGTTGCTCCACCCCAGATACCTATGAGGAAATGGTAGGCGCCCGATATAGAACCACCATTGGTAAATTTCCTAGAATTGATGATGTCTAGTGTTTCCGGTAAAGCTAGAGGCTTTATTGTACGTTCAAAGTCACATGTGCTCAGTTGTACTGCAGTACACTTAATACAGGGGCTGTCCCACTGGTGCAACTAAGGTGGAATTAGGAAACTAACAACCTTCCGGTTACCAGATTTTTTTTGCCCTTTTGGTGCATTTGTCTTATTATGTGTGCAGATATTTACTTAGTGTGTCTCTGTTTGTCCCCTACGGGCTCCCCAGCCGGTACAGCCATGGGAATGCCGGACATTTCCGCTGGATGTGGATCCACAGCAGGAGAGCGAAATCCATCACAGTCCAGCTGGCGAGAGGCCCTGTAGGACCATTCGACGGGTGTCCGGGTGCAGATCGTCCAAGTCGGAGTCTGACGCTGGGCCTTCATCACCTCTCGGCAATGACGGCGCCAAGCAAAAACAAACCAACCCACCCAAACCTACTCACCAATGAAGCCTAGACTCTGCCCACCCACCAGCTTTCAGAAACTGAAACAGCAGCAACGTAGATGAAAAAATAAAATGAAATAAAATGAATGAAAGTCCCTGTTGTTTGATATTCAAACATCAGTAAATTCTTTCACGGTTTTTAGTGAATTGTATGGAGATATATATTAAGACCTGTTTTAATTCAGTCTTGCTTTTGGGTCACTGAAGAATAAAAATGTTTAAAAAAATAAAAAGGAAGAAAGAAATTAGCTTGAGGGCTAAACCAAAATAAGCAGCTCAGAAACGTATTGTATATCGCTGAAGAGCATTTCCCCCTTAGCATGCTGTTGTACTGAGGGGCTCAGCTTGCATTGTGTGTGTGGTACCCTTTCAGATTTTTCCAATATCCCACATAAAATTACTCGTTCAACCTTGCAGTTTATAATGGAGTGATAAAGCGTTAAAATAAAGCCAACAATTATGATTACAAGAGACTTGCACGAAGGTACAGATGCCTGTCTTCATTTTTAAATTATTTTTCTCTACACATTCCCTGCTTATTATTTTAAACAGACAAACTTCCCCGTATTTGATGCCTGGGAATTGCATAAATTCCAATATCTGGTTTTGATTTCAGTCCCATGTTCTCGTGAATACCGTGGTTTGTCTGTGCCCCACTTCTGTCAAAGTGACGGAGAGAGCAGGTGCCTTCATCGCAGCCAGAAAACGAAAGTGACGAGTAGCTGTCATGCGCTTTTTAAATGCCACCGTTTGATTAGAGCACTTGATTGGTCGGTCTCTTGCACGACAATTGTCCGTAACTTTACAATCAGCACCTGAATAAACATGCGCAGGACGCTAACATTTGAGACTAGATTCCACTCGCTGCAACTCTGTAACTTATTGAGGGTGTGCATTTTGAAGCACTTGACGTTGCTATGCATGATCTGGTTAGTCCAGAGAACGTGCAGTCACTCCAATATAAACTGAAATGTGCTGACACTTGACTCGGTTTTTCTTTCGACTTAGCTCCAACCCCATTTAAAGGAGCTCTACCATTGATTGGTCAGGTCTAAACTTTGTCTTCGTTTAATAAAACACAATCTGCAATACCTACAGCCATCGTCAAATCCCGTAACTTGATGTTCGAGTAATAATGTTAGCTGGAGTGCTTGATAAGAAAGGACTTGGCAGATTTTCATTTGTTGGCTCCTCAGTTGCTGTCGGTCACAGCCATGTTTTGATGAGGAACGATTTCTGTTAGTTCCCCAGTCACTGCTTGCAACTCCCTCCTGTTATTTTAACTAATACGAATGTACAAGTCTAATAGCGGACACCAGTTACTTAAGATTTTTATAAGTAGCTTCTCTGTATCCGTCGTCACACGTCACACGTAGCTATTGTAGCCATTTGTTCTTGTTTAAGGGGTGTCATGTAAACCAGAAATCCTTAATATATTCCTTTTCACTGGAGCGTAACAGCGATCATAGTGTCAGATAAATCTCATCTTTTGAGGTTGTGTGGCAAATCGTAAGGGGACCATCCACGACTGTCCCATTTCCTGCTGAGAAACCCACCGCCCCTTTCATTCTTAATATCATTAATTATGGTTTTATGTCTCTTTCTGTGGGGTTCTGTGTACTTATCAGGCAAATGTACCATAAGGTTTGACTAGCTTTCAAAAGCCAATATTGTATCGTGCGAGTTATTTTCATACTTTGAATTTCCAATGTGGTGAATGAGGTTTGGGTGAGTCTGGTATATCCTTTAGCATGTAATAGTTTGTACAAAACAACAACAAAAACAGTTTATTTTGTACATACCTTGTTTGATTCTTTACTGTGTTTGATGTTCAGGCTGTAGCTGTCCTGATTGTCTAGGGAGAAGACACATGAGAATATTTAACACTTTCTTTATGGAGAGGCAACATGAAAAAAAAAAATGTTTATGGATAATTGGCCGATCTGACAGACAGGCAACGTTTGTGCTTCTCAAATTAAAAGTGAATTATATTGTACTCAAATGTCTTCTGTCTTTCTGTTCTATTAATTGTTTCAATCCGGTTCATATATGAAGTTTAAGTTAATTCATTACAGATATTCTGCTTGGATCAATAAGGATTTGGATTGGACCTTGCATTTCTTTTAACATTTATATACATTTGTGGTTTTTATATATGAAACCTTTAGAAACCCATTACAATTGTTCACACTAATGTTAAAGGTAAGTGCAGAAAGGTTGTGGTAACTCATTTATCTGCACTGTAATGACCTAGATAAAGGTTCACTCGGGTAAAACCACCAGAAACCGTGTGAAAGAAAGCTAAAGACCACTAATGGTAGATAAAAGCAAAAAAAAAAAAAAAAAAAAACTACAGGCATGTTCTTTGAGTTAATTGGAAAGGCACAGCTATACAGTCTATACTGACGCCTAGCGGCCATAATGCTGCAGCACGCAAATTCGGAAGAATTTGGTTACCAAATACATTTAAAAAAAAAGTTGTGCTATTCGCCGTTAACCGTTGTTAATTTACTCCGTTCCACAGTAAGTTATTCGTCTCGTCATGTGGTCTGAACACCAGGCGACCCGCGCCATGTAAATTAAAACCGCTTTCATTTGGCTCCTGAAGTGTTCATGATTGTATACAGATTTTTCAATAAGCTATTGTTTTTTTTTTCACGTGAAACTTTTTACCTAAGAAAAAAAATTACATTGTACCTTTAAGAATATCTAGTGTTTATAACGCGTTGCGTGCACTTAATTATGAATTAATCTAAGGGGGACAGGAGACCAAAAGAGTCATTTTACAAAAAACAAAGGACACAGAAAGCAGTTTAATACGGACTTTATTTCCAAATTCACGTTTACAGCAAGGAGTATCAGTGTAAACCAATTAATAAAACACATTACGATAAAGACAATCACAACTCTCAAGCTAGAATGAAGAACTGCGATGAGAAGAGCAGAGGCGGGAAATTAAACGGAGGAGAGAGATAGAGAGAGACCTCGCGACCGGTCAACAGATTACAGAACCGTCTGAAACAGCTAAAGGGTAGAATTACTTAAAAGGCCTTATCCAGTGCCATTTTTAAACATTTTATCTGATAATTCTGTTCTTCAGCTTAACCCACACGTCGAAATGCTCAGGTTTAAGTTAGCAGCATGCTGTTCAAAGGACGGCCAATGTTGGGTTTACAGCAATCCGTCTAAAGCGTCTCACAGGGTCATGTGAGATATATGTGGCACTAGGCAAATCCTTTACTGATATTGTGGATTCTGGATGCAAATTTCCCCCTATTTTACCTAATATTATATACCCCTTTCTAAACGCAAGATATACATCTAAATGAGTAATGTAGTTTGTGTAAAGGCAGCTCTTCTGTCAAATCAGTGCATTCACTTTCAAATGAGCATAAAGCTGCAATGCACTGCGGATATTAAATAAAAAGCTTAGTGTCAGACCCAAATCAGATCATCTGAACACATTCGTACATCTTTAACATCGTCCACACAATACTATTAGAAAAAAAGAGTGCAACATAAACCTGGATTTTAGCAGGTAGCTTCATTCCTTCAGTCTTCCTCCACTTTTTTTTCCCTCTTTCTTTGCATGTTTTAAGATGAGTTAAACGCTCTAGTAAAGGTAGTTTTCTAAACAGTTGGACGGGGATGTGGTGACTGGTTACTATATTCAAGACCATGGGTGAAGTCCATTGCATGCTGGGAATGTGCAGCGTGTGAGCGTTGTGGTTTGGATTGATGACTATATTGAAGGCTTTAGTACTGAGGGGAGCTTGACTAACGTGTTAAATGTCCTGCTCTGTGAATCAACTCTGTACATGACTGAATCCATCTTAGACCACAGAGAATCTTTAAAACAGATAGTTGTTTTCTCAAATGCAGCTGATGGACACCGGGAGGCACTTTTCAGCTGTCTGTTCCCAATATGAGATTTCCCGATATGATGTTAGTTATTTTATTGAGTGCTTTGAAATCCTCATGTCCTTTGCTTTGGTCCATACACATTCTTTGGAACAGCATTTTATACGCAGAAGCTGAAATCCATCAATACAGAAGCATCGTGACCATACAGAGATGAGTTAAAGGAAACAATGAGAGAATGTACAGAGTGATATCAGTTTGATGGGGCTTGTGCAGGGCAAACTACTTCAGAGCTCAACAATAAGGATGACAATGTGATCCGGGGCCTGTTTAAGGCCGTCACTACATCTTATATTTGGTCTCATAAAACGTATTAATCATAGCAATCATTTTTGTTTTGAAAACTGAAACTTCAAGCGATGTATTGGATGCACTGAAATGGTTGTCATTAATTAGTAGATATTATCAGTAAGGTTTTGCGTTATATGACATTTATGTTTCCCTCCCCCAAAGCTGTGTAAAAATTAATCTTTCATGGAGTTACATTTTTAATTATTTGCATTAAATAATTGTAAATAGATCATCTCTAATTTTTTAAGACAAAATGTTGCTAAAAATAAAATTAATATATTTTTTTATATTTTCCAACAAGAGCTATACGCCAAATGTCATAGCTTTCATGGCGTTACATTTCTAATTACTTGCATTAAATCATTTTAAAAAGACAATCTCAAATTAAAATGTATGTTATATATTTTTAGACACAACATGTTATATAACTGTCCAGATAGACAAAAATCCTTAATGTTGAGCCCTGTACTACAACAGCTTTATCTCAAAGTTTTGTATGATTTTTGTAAATTGACATTTGCTTTCTTCTCTGTCAAGAGTCACTAGAGGCCAAGCCAGAAGATGTCATACAGCGATGCAACTTCCAGTGCAATCGAGGACCGATAAGCCTTGAGAATTTGCTGTGGTGATGAATGAGGATGTGCCGTTTTAAAGAATTCACAGACAAAGTCTGGTACAGAAATATCTAATTTATGATATTAGAATTACAGCATCCCAAACAGATCTGAATAATGATTTATCAAAGTCTTTACTGTTTTATTTTGGACCAAACACACAATTGAGGTGTTTAGTGAATTTAACAGCTTTTATTAAGGAACAAAACATGCACTATAGTGATCGCTAATGTGTTTGATTTAAATAATTATATAGCAGGCCACTACTGCTGTTAAATGTGTCCACTACAGCCTGATTGCCTCAAGTTTTACCTAAGAGCGTTTGAAATGTTTCTGTCCTATCAAATTCACAGCCAGTATCATTAACTGCACCTTTCCAAACCATGTAGCTTGTTTGCCTTCCCTACTGCTGCATGTCAAAACAGGAGTGCATAAGTTATGGTAAATAAAAACATTCACAATAAGGCAACGAAGCAAATACAGCTTTGAAAGCAAATGTCATTGTTGTTTCTTTTAAAAAATGGGGTATTAAACAAACAAAATCAGGCTACTCAGTGCTGTAAATGACCATTTGGATCAATACACCACCAGCTCCTTTTAAATTGTAATTTTTTCTTTTGATGATACTAAGCCAATAACATCAATACCTGTCTCTCCGTGCCAGGAGGCAAAAATTATTTCACAAGCAGACAAGCCGCTGGGACAACCTTGAGTTAGGAGAAATCCGACAAGCACCTTATTTGAAAGGACTGAAGGAGAAACATTTGTAACTTTTTTTCAGTTGCCGACACGCTTCGGCTGGCAGCTCACAGGCCTTGTTTAGCGAGGGAGGCCGACACCTGATCAGCTAGCGTGGACAGCTGCGGGGAGTCGGTCATGTTGATGCTGCCGGAGGAAGACACGTTGCTGAGGCGGCGGGGCGATCCATCCGTGGAAATGTCGGGGGACCGGCACACGATATCAGCGCCGTGGTCGGTGCGCGCTTTGGCTTGCTCTCGGAAATTTAGCTTGTGGCTCTCAATCTGAAGGAAGAAAAATTTGGATTAAATTGGATGGATATGAACAATTGTCAGGTTTTGTAAGATAATACATACATGCATAAAATAAAATTAAAAGTCGTATGTATTGTTTGGGGTTACTAAGATTTTGTATTTAGTTTATCACCAAGGCTGCATTTGTTTGATCAAATACACACTAAAACAGTAATATTAGAAATATTACGATCCTTATTTTAATATATTTTGAAATGTAGGCCTAATTTAATTTATTTTTATCAGCCATTTCTCCAGTCTTCAGTGTCACATGATCCTTCAGAAGTCATTCTAATATGCTGATGTACTGCCCTATAAATAATTTCTATTATTATCAGTGATGAAAACAAGTGTGCTTTTTGTGGAAACCATGCTTTTTTTTATTTAGGATTACTTGATAGAAAATAAAAAAGGCATTTATTTGAAATATATTTGTAGCATCTTCACTATCACTTGTGATCAATTTAATGTCCTTACGAATAAAAGTTTTAATTTCTTTAAAAAAAAAGAAAAAAAAAAGTAAAATGGTTTTGAGTGGTAATGTGTTATAATCTGCTATCCCCGTTTTATTTTCAGAGACAGCTGAAGGTCATACAGTAAGGCTGCCCGCTAGTGGACTTACATGGACAACATGATGCAATATGGTAAGGTGGGGCTTGTACACTTATAAAGCTGCAGCACTAGTCTTCTTATAGTGATTTGCATATACCTTTTAAACCCATTTTAATAAGCATAGTTATATTTGCTCATATGAGCGGGACCAGAAATATACAAAAACATTTATTATAAAGATAATGCACAATTGAATTGAAATAAGACTTATTACAGTGCTGACAAAATTATTCCTAGCACAGGACATAAAAACCATGACACCATAAACTGACACTTCATAATTGCTGTGATATACTTACTGAGGCCCTCTGACTTAACCAGACTGTTCCCTTCAGAGGGAAGGTCAGAGGTCATGTCACCACCATTAGAGTGAACAGCATCCCCATTAGAGGAAGCATTTGCGGCCTGCGGCTCTGCTTCCTTCCCCTTCTCCCTCTACAGCGTGGACGCCACATAGTTCACAGGGTTATGGGTAAACAAAACAAAATGGGTTGGGATGCAAATTATGAAATGAGGTTATGAAGGGATAAAACACACTCACACTAGAGGGAATGCTGGGAGATGGGGTAAAGCTGTCTCAACACTTATCAAATATTTCCAAGTAAGAGTGCCGAGCTACTCTATCATCATCTTCCTTTGGATCAAATAATAATGTCCATCAATAAGTTAAGAGCAAAAACAGTTTGATCAGAAGACTAAAGTGAATCCATATTTACGATGTACTGTATCTAGTGCTAGACTAAAAAATAAATACATTTAAACATGTCACCACCCACCATAAAGCATTCTTCCCATTTCACAACAATTAAGTTGATTCAACCTTACAAGTGGACCAACTTAAAGTATGACATTTGAATGAATTCTATGAGAGTTCTACTGATTCATTCAAAACTTTCATCTGAGATCCAAGATCCATGATTTTACATAAGCTTCTTATCTTTAAAGTGCTGCAAATAGTTCGCAGATCAGCACTCCTACTTGATTCCTGAATGTTTCTGAATGTGAACGCATGAAAGCAGCAGCACAACACAGGAGCAGCAGATCACTGAATGGAAGAATGGTTAGCACTAAGCAAGGGAGCACTAGAAAATGCAGTGATCTTAAAAATGATTGAAAATGTGCTCAGTAGAGAGAGAAGATGAAGGAGAGCAAGACACTCAGCTTCTATCATCCAGTAAATCCTCTGCAGTACGTTTATTTCATTTGTTACATATATAAAATCATCCTACATCATTCATTTAATACATAATTATAAGTAATTCATTAGAACTTATAATATTAAAGGTGCTGTATGTAAGTTTTTGACTCTACTAAAGCATAAAAATACCATAATATCTTTGCAGAAATTTAAGAAACATGCTAAGTTAACATATTTGTTTATCTGAAAAACAATGCTACAGTCAGTTATTCTCCTTTGAAAATGTGCGTTCCGGGCCGGAATGTCGGTCTGTTTTGGTTTTTGAAACCCGCCCACTGTCAGTTTACCCATTGTATTTCGGCACCCCGGGTTGCCAGTTGGCGGAAAACACAGCGTATTTCATTTCATTCATCGTCAAGTGCGCTCGTTCCTGTTGGTGTGGTCAATCTGGCAACCTGCGTGTGCGTCAAGTCTGAGGAGGAGCCGGATGAAAATAACCCTCTCCAATATTTTGAATTTGGACTGCAATACCTAGTTCAACCACTCAATCCTACATACAGCACCCTTAAATGAAATACCTTTATAGACTTTGGTTTTGTGTTGAGACTACATTCATTCAGATTTAATGAGGCAAGGCTTCATAAAGCTACAGATATTTTCATTTACTCACTCTAATGTCATATGATTTTCTCCCTTTAGTGGAACACAAAGTAATTCTGCATGTCCTGGCTGTCTTTGAAGCCCGACAGCCCCCATTCACTTTCATTAAATGAGAAGAGGAGCCAAAACATTCTGCTAAACGTCTACTTTTGTGTTCCATGGAAGCCATAAAGTCATGCAGGTTTGGAACAACATGAAGCGAGTAAATACAGACCGAGTTTAAGATTTTGGATGAAATAAACATTTATAAAACATTTTACAAATAAATAATGGACCACGGGATAACATTTGCTCTAGATTAGGTGCAGAACAGTAGATCTTTTAAAGGCATCTCAAAGAAGTTGGCAAAAATATGTGCAAAAGAAATACATTGAAGTCTGCCAAGCAGGAGGAAGCATGCTGACCATAGCAAGATCTAACATGAAGGAAACTCAAGTGAGTATTACAGATAAAAGTAGATAAAAGCGTAACACTGTTGTCTTACGCATTTGTATTATTGTGAATTAATTCTACATCCAAATGACAAATAATTCAACATAGTATTGCACATTTCTGACTCATGGTGTTGTGTTTAATAAAGTCAAGAACATACCTTCTTCTGTCCACCCTTAGGAACATGTCCAATGTTCTCCAGAGATCCAACCTTTGACTGGGCTTTGAAGTCCAACTTCTCAGATTTGATCTCCACATTTCCACCTCCTAAAATGCAGATAAAAGTGTACAACTTCTGTTTAAATAAAACCTTTCCCATTTGTTTTTAGTTTACTGGAGGTGAAGATAAAGTTAGGGATGGCGCTTCCATTCCAATAAGGTACAGTAAATAAAATGTAAAAAATTGTACATTATAAAACTTGCATAAACAATGAATAAGCAATGTTGGTTGTCGTGTTTGGCCTAAAAATGCCTAATGGCATTTTTTATACTATTTTTCTTCATATCTGACTGAAATATCACCTGGTTTGTGATGAATGTTGCCCTTGGAGTCACACTTTGATTGGACGTTGCTTAGGTCGATCTTTTTGTGCACTATCTGAACCTGAAGCAAGAGGAACAAATAGAGTCAGTTATCAACCAGAGCATTTGGGAAGGAAATGAACCGCATGCTCAGGCACCTGAGGAGCTGATGATCTGGAGTAGGAAAATGACCATTATTCACAACAAAAAGGGTTCATGGGACAAAGAAACTTGCTTCCATTTATAGGCCACCACAAAATAGATATAAATCCAATTTACTATACCTACACTTCATGCAAATGTAATGGAGTGACGTATTTCAATTTTGGAGGAGTAAAGTGTGTGCATATAGACTGGGTTGACGTCACAATACGTCTGAATCTGTCTGAATACGTCTTGAAGGGTATTTAGAATTGAGTAAATACCCTTTCAAACAAGAATTAAGACATGAAAATTTTCCTCTCTGTCCCAAATACTGAGCCAGAAAAGAGATTCACTCAATATTTTAGTCAAAGGCACCCAAGGGCTTATAGAGGGAAGAGACTGTAATGCAACAATGCATGTTATATCTGATTTACTGTCTCAGGAGAAATTCAGATATAACTAGATTTACTTCTGAAGGCAATACCAGCACTTGTAAGGCAACAAAACAGCATCTTTGGTAAAATGATCCAGAATAGAAGAGAAAAAAAGTAGCACACCTAAGGATGAAATTATCTACAAAGCAATGTCTGAATTGAGTAAGTAGTTGTTAAGTAGTTCAAGGTGATAAGAGTTGCAAAAAAGTGTGAGGAAGAAAAATTAGGTATTTGAATACAGATTAATGGATTTGAATTTGCCTTGCAAGCACTGTAATGATGCACATGCTCAGTTTCAAGCACTCAAGTGAAGATCCATATCCCTTGGAGTTTTGTTTCTGCATATCTGACTACCTGAGACCCCTTCACAATCTTCACCTGCAGAGGAATTTATGGTACATGCATGCAGTCTACACAGCAGCACATCTGCAACGCAGCAACATCAGTCAGCAATCCGGGTGCATCACCAAGAGGAACCAGGAGGAACACCAGGTAAGAGGAGATACCAACACTGGGGATTCAGGCAAATTAATTGAACCTAGTTTTTGCAAAGGCATTTAGATGGATGTCTTGCCCAAATGCATTGCCAGTGCAGGCATGCCGCAGTCCCTGGACTAGCCAAACCTTCAAAAAAAAAAAACTCTGGCACCTTATAGCGCAGCTCATAGCTAAAGCCATCAGTCAGTTCACATTGTATTTGTTTTGTTTCATCTCTTGAAAGATCAACAGGAACGTAAAATATATTAATAAAGTTGGTTGCACTTTTTTACAGTACATGTACTTATGTATACATACAATGTACTTACCAAAGTCGTTGTTTTGCAAGTCACAAGTAAGTCTCGAGTCTTTGCATTCAATTCTCGAGTCAAGTCCCGAGTCAAGACAGACAAGTCCCAAGTCAAGTCCCGAGTCAAGACAGACAAGTCCCAAGTCAAGTCCCATAGTTCAATTTCATGTGAGATGGGTGCCCTTAGTAAAACTACTCAAATTCAGTTTAGGGATTGTGCCAAAATAGGACAAGCAGTGAAAAAAACAAACAAAAAAAAAAAACATTTTATTAGTAACAGAATAGCTAAAACAAAAGAATTTCATAGAAATACAGCTGCAACATACTTTGCATGTGTGCTTAAGAATATATGCTTCTGGTGTTATATCTAAGCCAATGAGCCATTATTTGGAACCTCAAGGCGGAGATAGCTATATACGAATCATGTCTTTTTTTTTCTTATCTCGGTTCTTTTGTCGTAAGATATGCTATTACTCCATTAATTTATACTAGCATATACTGTATAGCCAGCGCTCCCTGAACACAGTCTCTGGCTTTTTGTCAGTCAAGCGCAAGCACGCAGGGACGCGTCTAGAGTAATAACGACTCTGATCTGATCATAAAGTCTTTCCGAGTCACAGGGCTCAAGTCCAAGTCAAGTCTCGAGTCATTGCTGTCAAAGTCTAAATCGAGTCTCAAGAGTCATGTGACTCGAGTCCACACCCCTGGTACTTACCCAAGAAAGTGATGGGTAATATAAGGTAACTAAATGGGTTAAGATTATGAGCTTCATGGTTTGTATTACCCAGTTATTGTATTCACTTTAATAAGTACATAGCATGTACATGTAGAACACGGCTGTAAAATAAAGTGCTAGCATAAGGTTAATATGCTAAAATTTAAGATTATTGTATTTGGATTATAATAGTACAATAAATTTATAGCAAGTAATAAATAAGCAATTAAGTAATAATTTGGATTATTACATCTTGGATGTTCAGGCTCAGTAGTAAGTTAAAAATAAGTGAATTAATTTTAATCTAATTTAATCTAACAGTTTAAAAACAATTATTTAATACTGTCTTTTGGCTGTGTGGGTGTTTAGCAGATAATACTTGACTTGTTGATGGAGAGCTACTTAAAAGCTTTGACTGTGGGTATGTGTGTCAGGGTTTCATTAGTTACAAAAGGTGACTATTCACCTTGAGTGTGCAGAACTGTCTTTAAAAGCTTTGCATACTTAAAGGGATAGTTCACCCAAAAATGAAAATTCTGTCATTAATTACTCACATCGTGTTGTTTCAATGCCCTAAGACTTTCGTTCATCTTCAGAACAGAACCGAAGATATTTTAAATGAAATCAGAAAGGTTTCTGTTCCTCCACTGACAGCCTTTTTTTAAACGGCGTTTTAAAATGAAAACGATCCTCATCTACATTTGCATTTTTACTGTGTTTCAGAAACGTTCTCCGTTTACACTATACAACCGAAAACACATGTCACATGACCATTCATGCAGGTACAACAATGAGCATGATGTTATTGTTTACATGGTCGTCAAGCATACGCAGAGCGAATGTGGGCAGTCACGCCATCGTTTTCAAAAGTCTCAGTTTTGATCCGTTTACACTGAAATGCAACCTCTGAGTTTTCAAACTAAAACGGGGTCTGCAACATTTTCAAAAGTCTCAGTTTTTGAGGGTCGAAAATGCCAGGGTAGTGTAAATGACAGGCGTAACCAGGGTTTGAAATTAACCTTTTCACTCACCAGCCAATTTGGCTACTAAATTTTTAAGTTACCGGCCATTCATAATTTCTACTAGCCAAAAAAATTAAACTCAGTATAAGCATTGATTTTGTGCTAGAACATAGGAAATTCACTGCTAATAAATGCTGTCATCCTTTCCTCACCCTCATGTCTTTCCAAACCTGAATGACTTACTTTCTTCTGTAAAACACAAAAGATATTTTATAGAATGTGCCACATCCGCCGCATCACCGATTATAATGGGTTCTATAGTATTTTGTCGCATCTGGTGTAGACACGGTACACGGTGTCAGGCATTTTTTGACTTTTCGTTATTGCTTCAATGCAAAGGAAACCAGTGCGCCCGCTTTAACGCGCATGCACCGGGTAGCACCGCTTCACACTTTTGGAGTACTTGCTTTTTGCAGTTTCGCGTGGTTCGCGTGGGAAAAACAGCGCCTAATATAAGGTCTCCCTCGCTTCGGCGATCGGCCCACCGGGAATGTCCCGGTGCTCCCGATGGCCAGTAGCTACATCGCTGGGTATGTTCAAGTAAGCTAGATATGCCCAGATGATGCGCAATTAGGCTTATTTAATATATTATGATGAGTCTCGAGTTCAGTATTTACACTAAATCTGTGCAGATTTGGCTTACATGAACTTCCTCAAGAAATTAATTAGTAAACATAATTTACGAAAAGTAACCCGCCAAATTGGCTAGTGATTTGAC